CAGATTCTATTGCTGTTTATGAAGACAACCAATCAGCAATACAGATAGCTTCCAATCTCGCTGTAAAGACTAGATCAAAACACACAGATCTAAGATATTTAAATGTGAGACAATGTGTGCAAAGTAAAATGATTAAACTAGAGTACTGCATGTCAGAGAATAACATTGCAGATCATTTTATAAAAGCCCAAGGCTCTGTAAAGCATAAGGCTTGCTGTGAGGTTTATGGACTTAAATTTTAAGGTGTTATATATTGTCCTACCCAAAGGGGAGAATGTTAGGAATTGATAGTCACCTAACAATTGGGTTGGAAATATATAAACCAGGATAGACATTTAATACTGTCTCTTTAAGGGAATGATGTAATTGTAATTGGATGTGGTTCCTCAAATGGCCATAAGATGGAACCAGAAACCCAGTTTCCTAGTTGCTAGATGTTCTGATGCTCAATGTTGGTTGGTTTGGATTGCTGTGAGTCTGTTTACTGAACTGTTTATGATACTGGACTTTGTTATTTGGATTATCCCTGGACTGAAAACTGACTGCTTTAACCGTGTATTACTTGGACTGTTTGTTGGACTTTGATTAACCGTTTACTGGAAGTAAAACTTACATTTTACTATTCAGTGTATCTGTATGCTGGTTGTGTGTTACACAACATTACTCTCACTATGTCTCCCTGTGTGCACTCATTCTCCTAACAGGGAATACCTCAACAACATGTATACATCCAAATTAGACTGTTTTGTTTCTGTCATATATGTGGATATATGCATAATTTTATTTAATTTTGATGTGTTTGTGTGTGTATATTGGAGGTGGAGACCCTTTCAGAGCTGCATGCAGCAAAATTTTATTTTAATGTATGCTGATTAGTGTACATTCAAAGTGACAATAAAGTTATTCATGATGGACCATTGGTTTGGAGCATCAGTCTGCTGCTTGTAGCATCCTCCCTTTTTTCCTTTGTAGCTCTCAGGCGCTTCCTTTTTTTGGAAAAGAAGGTGTGTTGGTCACTGATCCAAAGCAAGTAAAAGGAAAGGTGGCTTGTATGTGTGATGCATTGAAGGGAATTTTTGTAGCTCAGAGTTGAACTGTAGGCTCCTTGATGCTTTCTGAGCTTGGCGGTTTTCTTGTGGACATTTCTTCACCCAGCTAGGTAATACCATCCCTGCTAGAAAGGAGAGGGGTTTGTGGGGAGGAAGAGGAGGAGGATTGCAGGGTCTTTCTTGGTTTCTGAGCTTGGTTTTGCACTGTCCCAAAGGTGCTGTCAACTCGTAAAGCATTCCTATGTCTGTTTTCGAGTTGCCATAAACAAGGGTGGGGGGTAAGCTGAAGGAGCAGCGTGGCAGTTTAAAACCAGAAGTAGTTTCCAACACTTATCTTGAAAAGATTGTAGCTAGGCTACCGGATCTTTGAAAATCCTTCATTGGAGAACATGATTGATGACATCCAGCCTGTGAAGGTGCTTTATTGGAGAATTTTTTATGACACATCCAGGGGGCAGGGGCGAAACAGGGGACTGTGAATTACGTATGCCAGACTTGGCTTCATTTAGGTTAATGCCAGCATGTTACTCCTAATAAATCTTTATTTATTTGTATTTATTTTATTTATTTATTTTTGTCAATTGCTTACAAGATAATAGGTATAAGTATATACATAGTTATGAATACATGGATACATATAAAAAAAATAAAACAAACCATAGGACGGGGATGGTAGGCATGTTGGTGCGCTTATGCACACCCCCTACAGATCTCTTAGGAAAGGAGTGAGGTCAATAGTAGACAATCTAAGGTTAAAGTTTTGGGGGTTTGGGGATAAACCACAGAGTCAGGTAGACATTGACCGCCCTGTTGCTGAAGTCGTATTTTCTGCAGTCAAGTTTGGTGCGGTTTACCTTGAGTTTGTATCTATTGTTTGCTCTTGCGTTGTTATGGTTGAAGCTGAAATATTCATTGACAGGTAGGACATTGCAATGTATGATTTGATATACTATACTTAGATCGGACCGAAGGCGGTGTAGCTCTAGGTTCTCTAGGCCTAGAATTTTGAGTCTGGGGGCATAAGGTATTCTGCAACAAGTAGAGGAGTGGAGAACTCTTCTTGTGAAATATTTCTGGACTTTCTCAACTGTGCTAATATCAGATACGTAATGTGGGTTCCAGACTGATGAGCTGTATTCGAGTATTGGTCTCGCAAATGTTTTGTATGCTCTAGTTAGTAGTGTGATATTACCAGAGAAAAAGCTACATAAGATTAGGCTAACAACTCTTAATACCTTTTTGGCTATGTAGTTACAGTGGACTCTAGCACTTAGATCATTAGAGGTGAGCACTCCAAGGACCTTGACAGAGCTTGGATCATCAACAAGGTCTTGACAACAAGATCTTCTGGATTCTTTTGAAGTTGGGCTTGAGGCTCCTGATTTAATTGGGGCAAACACTGGAATCCAGATAGATGTCTTTTCAAGAGGCAACTGGACTTTGAAAAAGCACCTCTAGGACGACCATGACCTGGACTGAGAATCTCCTTAGACACTGATGATGTTACCTAGTTTGGTAACAAAATGTCTGCAAAGAAAACTACCAAGCTCAGAGAGCACCAAAGACAACCCCCATCCCACTGTCATCGTCCTCCTCTTCCTCGCAAACCTTCTATAGCAGGTTGCAACCTCTCTCCCTTCAAGCACTGATGATGTTACCTAGTTGGGTCATGAAACGTCTGCAAGAAAACCACCAACTCAGAAAGCACCAAGGACCCCAGTCTTTTTCTTCTTCCTCCTCCTCCTCCTCCTCCTCCTCCTCCTCCTCCTCCCCTCCCCCCCCCCCCCCCCCCCGGTCCTGGATGTCCTCTGCCCCTCCTCTCCCTCTTCCCTGTACACCCCACTCCCTTCTAATACTCATGATATTATCTAGTTGGGTCATGAAACGTCTGCAAGAAAACTACCAAGCTCAAAGAACATCCAGGACCCCTCAGTTCTCCTCCTCCTCCTCCTCCTCCTCCTCCAGCCTTCTTCTCTGCCTCCTCCTCTCCACACACCCCTCTCCCTTCCAGTACTGATGATGTTCCCTAGTTGGGTCATGAAACATCTGCAAGAAAACTACCAAGCTCAAAGTACATCCAGGACTCCTCAGTTCTCCTCCTCCAGCCTTCTTCTCTGTCTCCTCCTCCTCTCCACACACCCCTCTCCCTTCCAGTACTGATGA